CATAAGGAACCAGGACTCCCAGGTGACTCCTAATCAACGGATACCCTGTCCTGCCTGGCCGGCTTCTTCCTCACAAGGGAGTTAAAAGCCTCCAGCTGTGACATGGGGAGGGGTGGGGGGCAATATTCCACAATGGTAGCTAAGCCTTGCAATGAGGCTGAAGTTCCGAATCCCAAGGGCCCTCTCTCGTGACCCAGCCTCTCCTGACACTTGCCCTGTCCCAGGTTCCTGACGATGATCTACTCATCCTATGCATGCACATTTCATATCACATCAGCCACCCCTGGGCGGCTGGGGCCCCCCAGGCCTGTGGAGCTAGAACCCGTCCCTAACTACCTGCACAGTCTCAAGGATGGAGGGAGCCCACTTCCTGTCCGCTGGGTTCCCGGGCTTCTGCAGCAATCAGGGCTCCCAGGTGGCTCCTAGTGGAAGCTCTCCTGGCCAATTCCGCTGATCTGACCCCAGCAAGGCACTACAGATGATTCCAGTTAGGCATTCAGTGGGAATAGGTACGTTTGCATAGGTTAGGGCTTGGAGTCGAGCAGTTGCATTGTAACCCCAAGAGCTTGCTCTTAATACCTGAATTCTCACACTGCCGGCTCGTTGGCTACACTGACCGTTGTGATCTGTGCATATGCACACGTACATCGTCAGTTGGCCTTTGGCAGCCTTCGCGCTCCAGGCCTGTGGAGCTTAGGCCAGGCCCCAACCATCTGCATTGCCTCTAGGGCGTAAGTAAGGAGCTCACCCTCCAAAATCTGAGTTGGAGCATTACACTGGCAACAGGAAGCCCCTATTTGCACTTTATTATGCCTTTTGGGGTACTGGGTGGATCCGTCATCAAGGTTCACAGGTGTCCCTTAGTGAAGGACATCCAGGTCATCCTGCACCCCCTGCCACACCCTGGTAAGGCTTGAGATTCCTCAAGCTCTGCCATCAGGGGTAGTATGAGAACTTGTGTGAGTTGAGGCTTGCAGTTAGACGGAGGCCTTGCGTTCCCAACAGCCTGCTCTCATTACCAGGCTTCTCCCAATGTTGCCCATCAAGGGCCAGGCTTCCCTGACCTACAGGGCCCACACTTGGGCAGTCTGCCCTCTTTCAGCAGTCTTGAGCAAGTGGGGGCCCCTCCTGCTCTGTGGAGCTCAAACTGGTCCCCAACCACGTATATAACATCCTGGTTGGAGGGAGACCTCCCTTTGAAAATCCTTGTGAGGAGGCAGCTTTATACTGGCAACATTCTGTCCTCATTCACACTGGCCGCAGGATGGAGTCCCTGGCTTTTCCAGCTATCAAAGCTCCCAGGTGTCCCTTAGTGAAGGAGACCCCCAGCGAGTCCGACCCAAGACCCCCAGACCCCCATTCTGGTAAGGCAGTCCAGATTCCGACAGTTTTATCTTCAAGGGAAGTATACCCGTTTGTGCATGTTAGAACTTGGAAGTAGGAAGATACCATGGATCCCCAAGAGCCAACTCCGGACCCTAGATTCTCTTGACATTGCCCAATCCCAGTCCCTGGATTGGCTGATCTGTCTGATCTGCATGTATGAAGTATACACCCCATCAGCCACCCTTAGGCATCCTGGGCCTGGAGGAGACATGGCCCCTCCCCAACCACTTTTATGTAGTTAGGGGTATGGAGTGAGCCGGCCCACCATTTAGCACTCTGAGATAGCTGCTGAAATGGGTGAGCCTGTCCCGTTTGGACTTACTATCTGCTGGGGTCCCAGGCTTCTGCAACAATCAAGGCCCCCAGGTGTCTTTTATTGGAGGATACACAGACCAGCCCTGACAAAGCAGTCCAGAATCCCCAGTGCAGCCTTTGTGGGGAATATATACATCTGTGTAGGTTAGGGTTTGGAATTAGGCAGATGTCTTGGATCCATGGTAGCCTGCTGCCGTGACTGGCCTATCCTTACACTTACGCTGTGCCAGGTCCCCGGCGACCTTGACGGCTATGAACTGCGCATGCACAGTATGTGCCCTGCCAGCCAAACTTGGGCAGCCAGAACTCTCCGGGACTGTGGAGCTCAGGCCCATCCCTAGCCACCTGCATGGCCTCATGGGTGGAGGGAACCCACCTAAAGATCGCTCTGAGGCATCAGCTATGTGGACTGGCTGGCTGTCGGCGTCCTGGGCCTCTGCTGTAATCAAGGCTCCCAGGTGTCTCTTATTGGAAGATACCCTGACCAGGCCTTGAAATCCAGCCCTGGCAAGGCCATCTACACTCCTCCAGCTTTGCCTTCATGGGGAATATTCACATTTATCCAGATTCGTTAGATGCCATGGATCCCCCAAAAATACCCCCTTGAGATCTGGTTCTCCTGACACTGCCCAGTTCCAGGTCTTTGGCTGCCCTAATCAGCGCAGACCCTATCAGCAGTCCTTCCCGACCACCTACACAGCCTCCAGGGCAGAGGGAGCACCCCTCAAAATCCTTCTGAGGAGACAGCTTGAAACTGGCTACAGTCCCCATTTGGACTGGATGCGTAAGGGTGTCCTGGGTTTCTACAGCAATCAAAGCTCCCAGGGGTCTCTTAGCGAAGGCTATCCCAGCCAGTGTGCCCATCCCACCTTGGCAAGGCAGCCCAGGTTCCTCCAGCTTTGCCCTCAGGGCAATATGTGCATATGCATAGACTAAGGCTTAGAATTAGGCAGAGGTCTTGTGCTCTCAACAACCCACTGTGGGAGCAGCCATCACCGGGGCACTGCGCTTGGCCCTTGCATGCACCGCAGCCTGCCTGGGGCAGCAGAGGCCCTCCAGCCTGAGGAGCACCTGCTGGTCTCTAACCATCTGTATGGCCTCCATGGTGGAGGGACCCTGCCCCCTAAAATCTCCTAGCTGGTTGCTTCATACTGGACAAAGTCCCCATTTGCTGGCTGCCTGATGTGGTTTTGGGTTTCTCCAGCAATCCAGGCTCCCATGTATCTCTTATGGAGGATACCTAGGCCAGCCATCGGACCTGCCTTGGCAAGGCAGTACGGAGTCCTCCAGTTTTGCCTTCAGGGCAACTATGTGCGATTGTGTAGGTTAGGACTTAGAATTAGGCAGATGCCATGGTACCCCAAGAGCCTGCATTTTAGACCTGGCCTCTCCTGACACTCGCCAGTTGCAAGTTCCCTGGTTTCCTTGACCTGCACTGCCCACACACGCACAGTACACACTGTTGGCCAAACTCGCAGCTAGAGCCCTTGGGCCTGTGGCGTTCAGGCCCATCCCCCACCAGCAGCTCTAACCTGGTAACATCAAGTCCTCGTTTTGACTGTCTGCTTGATGGGATCCAGGGATTATCCAGAACCCAAGCTCCCAAGCGTCACTTAGTGGAGGATCTCCCAGCTAGCCTGCCTGGCCCTGCCCTGGCAAGAACGTTCAGATTCTTCCAACTTTGCCTTCAGGGGGAGTATGCATATTTGTCGACGTTAGGGCTTGAAATAAGGCAAATGCCATGGACACCCATGGCCCATTTGTGGTATCTGGCCTCTCCCTACACTTGGCCTGCTCCATGCCCCTGCCTACCATGACCTGCATGGCGCATGTGTGCACCCTACGCACTGTCAGCTGACCTCTGGCAGCCACGGTCCTGTAGACCTATGGAACTCAGGCTGGTCTCCAATCACCTGTATAGCCTTGTCTGGTGGGAGTCCACCCACGAAAGTCGTTGAGGCTGCAGCTTAAAACTGGCAACAGTCAATCCCCATTTTGATGTGCTGCCTGGTGTGGTACCAGGCTCCCACAGAAATCAAGCCCCTCGGGTGTCTGTAATTGGAACATAACCCAGGCCAGCTCTTCAGGTTCCACGGGGTCATCAGCTGGAGGATGAGAGGTCACAGGCTTGCTGAGCCTTACCACAAAGCTTGGAGGCTTTCAAATGAAATACATTTAAACTATTTTATTAATTTAAAAAATACAAATAGAAACAATAGCATTACTACCTTTAGTGATAGGAAGTCCCTGGAACTCCTCTGCCAACCCTTGAAAATGAACTGGGAAACTTAAATTTACCTCACAGGAGAAAAACCTCCAAAGTCCAGAGACAGTTTCTGATTCTACACCAGTTTCTTCTAGAAGTCTGGTATCACTCAAGAAGCAATTCATCTTAATGCAGAATTAGAGTTTTTCTGTGATAAGAATTAAAGTGATGTACAGTGTCATGTATGGTATCATATGCCCACAAGTCCCTGTTCTAAGTCAAAAAAACAAACTGCGAAAGTAATGAAAGATGAACTACCAGATACACAAAAGAAAACCTGGAAACTTGAAAAAACAAAACAACTGAATAAAAATTAACTTAAGAGGACATTAGATAATAAATTTTAATTATTTTACATTTAAAAAATATAAAGTTTTATGCTTTAAAAATAATCATTTTATTCATGAATAGACCCAAAGCTAATATACTGCTTCTTTTTAAGTTTTGAAATAGTGAATAGAAAACTGACAATAATTTCAGTTGATTGCACTTACACATGGAAAGAAAAGTGTTTTTTTTTAAACAAAGGCTAAACATTAAAAAAAATGCCACTTTAAAATCTTTTTCTAAATTATATTGGAAGAAAATGATGAAAAACCATATTCAACTGAACCAAGAAACAAAAATTTTTGTTTCATCGGTGATCCAAATCACTGTTAGATGAGATAGATATGCACATTTCATACTGGTTCTTCACAGATCTGAGGTAGCACAGGTCAGCTGGCCAACAGAACAATTCTACAAGGCACCATTGGTTTTGTGTGACAGAACGCTAGCTGGCACCTGAGATCTACAAATACAGCAAAAAAATTCAATTATGGTATATAAATTTTTCTTCAATTTTCTCTGATTTTATATTGGATTGATACTGATATGATAGTCACTATGCTTTGTCTTTTTGTTCAGGAAGGTCTTTCCTCAAATCTACTTGAGAGATTCCTTCACAAAGTTGCAAATGTAACTAGTTCTTTCAGGTATGTCCCTACACTCAACTGAACACTGCTTAAGGCCCTGGTTAGAACAGATGTATATGTTTTTCCTGTGACAGATATTTTCCAATAGATTCTCTTCTCCCATGTCTCTGTAATCCTTTAGGGATCGATAAAGATCCCTGTATCTTCCTAGTGTTTCCAAAAATCCTTCCATGTTTTAATCATGTGACTTGCTTCATGCTTTAATCATCAAAATGCTTAAAGCATGAAAGAAGTCACATGATTTAAGGATGGAAGGGTTTTAGAAACACTAGGAAGATATATATATACATACATATTCTGCTCCCACCACAGCAGAGAGGCCAAAACCTTGTTGCAATATTCCAGCATCACGGTGGTGGTTCCCAGGTATGCCATGTCATGGAACAGACCCTTCATTAGGTCAAGATAATTTTAGTAGCGTTCTGCCTTCAGAGCTGCAATGCAAATCAACAACTACTGTCTCCATAAACACTGTTCTCAATCTTTCTTATAACCACAGAACATGGCTCAACAACTAATATTGGTCATTAAAACCTCTTAGAATCCATTTACCATGTCTGCTTCCTTTTGCAAAGTATAAGATCTCTTACATTTCTTTAATTGTTAACCTAATGGTATTTCTAACCATCTAGTCGAGAAATGAGCTGCATTATGTAATGTGCCACCACTGTGTAACAAGTGAACAGCATAGTGCAGTTATGAGACTACACTCACATAAAACCCACTATTCAATTAGTTATTAAACTCTGTTCTGCTTAAATGGCACTCAAACTCTCATCCTAGATAACTATAAAATTCCATTCAGGGGAGACAGAAATGATGACTAAGAGAAATTAACAAGAGCATCAGAAATATGCTTAGCAAATACTCGCTTATACATTCTTCTTTTCGTCTGTAGCTCTTTATCTTTCATAAATAGCATGTCTGTACAATAAACCTGTATTTCATCTTCTTCCAACTCATAAGCTTTAATACGTTCATGATTTTCCTACCCATTTTCCTATCTTCTAAGATTTTTTTCACTTAATTAGCGATTTTCAAATTTCATTATCAGTGGAACTCTTTCTTCCAATGAAATCTTATGGAGACTCCCACTACATAAAGCAGTCAAAAGCAGAACTGCTCTGATAAAAAGGAGGGGCTTGTCAGTAGACACAGCTTAGAAACCCCTGCTCTAAAACATTCAAGAAAGCTGAAGAAAAGATATAGGCCGTTGGAATTTCTTCATTTCCAATGATTATAAACAATTTCCCCCTTGTTTCCAATTTTTAAGAACATTTCTTGAGGACAGTGGCTTTTACCTCAGCCCATTAATGGAATAAAAGCACAGTGCCTTACATATAGCTAAGTATTTTAATTCATATTTCTTTTCAAACTTAAAAATGCAAATTAGTATAAGATGTAATCCTATGACTAAGTTATTAAAATCAGTTTTAAAAATATTTAATATGTGATAGAAAAAACATGTTTTAAATTACTATTGCTTCATAACTGTAATTGTTCTAGTCCAAGTCCAAACACTAGCCAAAAGGCTCCTTATCAAGAAAACAAAAATCACTCTGTAGTCATGCAATGATTCTGTGGCTATATTTTTGGATTAAAAAAAAAAGCTTCAGTTATTATGTTCTATGCATATTTTAAACCTGATTTGCTTGAAAGGCCCGAGTTTTGTCAAACTTAGAAGATAGTACAAAAGTTAAAAAAATGAAAATTCTTTTCTAAAATAAGCTCATTTGTGCTTTCCAGGCTTTTCATCAACCTCCTTCCACAGAAACAGGTTTTTAAACTGATTTTTTAATAAATCCAGGCCTTCAGAAACCAGCTCTGTGCTTAGCTTATAAAAGGCACCCCTGTTCTTCTATGCTCCTCACAGGCTGGACGGGCAGCACCAGGTGTGAAATGCGGCTCCAGAGCCCACTCAGTTTGTCCGAGTCCATGTGGTTGAAGGAGCGGGGAGTGTCAGAGTTGGTAAACCTGGCCCAGAGTAAATCTCTCACTTTTTCCTCAGTTTCCCTTGGGCCAACACTTGCTTCTAATGTCTCCTCCTCCAGGAGAACAGTCAGGACCAGGGCCACATCTTTGAAGGCGGCATTCTCGTGGTCACAATACTTGTAGAAGATCAAGGTAGAGCCCGCAGGAAGGGATTCAAAGTGATGTACCACAGCAGCTTTCTGGCCATTCTCAAATCCCGAGCTCAGCTCCATGTCAACCAAGTGCTTGACGGTGTCACTGTCCTCCAAGGTTCTTCCAGCCCCATCAATCTGAATGGCAGAGACTTTCTGGGAGGAGGTGTAGGCATCCGCAACGAGGTGACTCAGGCACTTCAGGGTCTCTCTTCCCTCTTGAGCTGCTGTAAATATGATGGTGGCCGGCTCAGTAGGGTTTGAAGCATTGAGGTGCCTCTGGAGAAATTTACGTCCTCTCTGCCACAAGAAGGAACTCTGGCCTGGGAATTTATCCTTCAATTGGCTGAACTGAGCCAAAAAGGCCTCCAAAGCTGGATTTTTGGACACTTGCTGGGCTGGAGAGAAATAGCTATTAACACAGCTTAGCAAAAAAACCATAACCAGGATGCCAAAAATGATGGAGCCTGTCAGAAAATGGGAAAACAAAACACAAAATTAGAACGTGGATCAGAAATAAAACCTGGGGCAAACTGAAATGAGTTAGAGATACTGTCAGATTTTATTAATTGTGGTGTTTCTTTTGCCTATATCCTTTAAAGTTTGAGATATTAAGGTCTACCAGAAATACTTATTCTCTAATTTCTTAGATTGAATTATTTGAAGATATAATATTTTTCTTAAAAAGTGAAAGCTAAGTTTGTGTATTTGTTGCTATAACATTATAATGATGTGATTTGGAAATGAACTATCAGGATAGTCTTCCACCTTCTCAAAGTACCTATTACCTACAATAAGTCATTCTTTCCTTAAGGGTCAAAATGTAAAAATGCCACTTGAGAAGTTAATAAATACTCTGCATTTAAAAAGCAGTTTTAGATATGAGGAATTATATTTTTTAAAGATTTAATTATTTATTTGAGAGAGCGAGAATGAGAGAGAGAGAGAGTACATGAGAGGAGGGGAGGGTCAGAGGGAGAAGCAGGCTCCTCGCTGAGCAGGGAGCCCGATGCGGGACTCGATCCCAGGACTCCAGGATCATGACCTGAGCCGAAGGCAGTCGCTTAACCAACTGAGCCACCCAGGCGCCCTAGATATGAGGAATTCTTAATCTCAGGAAACAAACGGGGGGTTGCTGGAGGGGTGGGGGGTGGGAGGGATGGGGTGGCTGGGTGACAGACCCTGGGGAGGGTAAGTGCTATGGTGAGTGCTGTGAATTGTGCAAGACTGCTGAGTCACAGATCTGTACCTCTGAAACAAATAATACAATATATGTTAAAAAAAAAAAAAGAAGAAGAAGAAGAAGATAGCAGGAGGGAAGAATGAATGGGGAGAAATCGGAGGGGGAGACGAACCGTGAGAGACGATGGACTCTGAAAAACAAACTGAGGGTTCTAGAGGGGAGGGGGGTGGGGGGATGGGTTAGCCTGGTGATGGGTATTAAAGAGGGCACGTTCTGCATGGAGCACTGGGTGTTATACACAAACAATGAATCATGGAACACTACATCAAAAACTGATAATGTAATATATGGTGATTAACATAACAATAAAAGTTTTTCAAAAAGCAGTTTTAGTTTCTTATTCACGAAAAGCTTTTCCTCCTGGGAATTCCCATCTTGTTAAGGATGGCAAAATATCTGCCAGGGCCCCTAAAGGAAAAATCCTTAAAACTCTATTGCTCTATTTCACTATTACCTATTATCAAACATTTTTAAAAAACATATTAAAACAAGCCACAGTAATTAGACACAAAAAAGAAACAAAAGGTTTCCAAATCGGTAAGGAAAAAGTAAAACGTTCCCTATTTGCAGATGACATGATACTCTATACAGAAAACCCTAAAGACACCACCAAAAAACTAGAACTCATAAATATATTCACTAAAGTTGCTGGATACAAAATCAATGTGCAGAAATCTGTTGCATTTTTATACACTAATAATGAAGGAGCAGAAAGAAAAATCAAGAAAATAATCCTATTTACACACCAAAAATAGTAAGATACTTCAGAATAAACCTAACCAAAGAGGTGAAAGACCTGTACTCTAAAAACTAAGGAACACTGATGAAAGAAACTGAAGATGACACCAAGAAATGGAAAGACATTTCATGCACATGGATTGGAAGAACAAATATTATTAATATGGCTATACTAGGGCACCTGGGTGGCTCAGATAGTTAAGCATCTGCCCTCGGCTCAGGTCATGATCCCAGGATCCTGGGATCGAGTCCTGCAGCAGGCTCCCTGCTCAGCGGGGAGCCTGCTTCTCCCTCTGCCTCTCTCTGTCTCTTATGAACAAATAAATAAAATCTTTAAAAATAAATAAAATGGCTATACTACCCAAAGCAATCTACAGATTTAATGTAATCCCTATCATAATATCAACAGTATTTTTCACAGAATACTGTAGAATAATCCTAAAATATACATGGAACCACAAAAGGCCCTGAATAGCCAAAGCAATTTTGAAAAAGAAAAGCAAAGCTGGAGGTATTACAATTCCAGACTTTCAGGTATATTACAAAGTGGTAGTGATCCAACAGTATGGTACTGGCACTAAAACAGCCACACAGATCAATGGAACAGTATAGAAAACCCAGAAATAAACCCATGACTGTATGGTCAATTAGTCTTCGACAATCAACAAAACTAAAAGGCAACCTACTGAATGGGAGAAGAGATCTGCAAATGACATATCTGATAAAGGGTTAGTATCAAAAATTTATAAAGGGCTTACACAAATCAATACCCAAAAAACAAATAATCAAATAAAAAATGGGCAGAAGAAATGAACAGCCATTTCTCCAAAGAAGACATCCAGAAGGCCAACAGACACATGAAAAGATGCTCAACATCATTCATCACAGAAATACAAAAGTACAAATAGGTATCACCTCACACCAGTCAGGACGGCTAAAATTAACAAGTCAGGAAACGACAGATGTTGGCGGGGATGCGGAGAAAGGGGGCCCCTCCTACACTGTTGGTGGGAATGCAAGCTGGTGCAGCCACTCTGGAAACAGTATGGACGTTCCTCAAGAAGTTGAAAATAGAGCTGCCCTACCATCCAGTAATTGTGCTACTGGGTATTTACACAAAAAATACAAAACACTAACTCAAACAGATACACGCACCCCTATGTTTATTGCAGTATTATTTACAATAGCCAAAATATAGAAGCAGCCCAAGCGTCCATCAATAGATGAATGGATAAAGATGTGGTGCATATATATCCAATGGAATATTATTCAGCCAAAAATAATGAAATCTTGCCATTTGCAACAACATGGATGGAGCTAGAAAGTATAATGCTAACTGAAATAAGTCAGTCAGAGACAAATACCGTATGATTTCAGTCATATGTGGAATTTAAGAAACAAGACAAATGAGCAAGGACGAAAAAAAGAGACAAACCAAAATCACAGACTCTTAACTATAGAGAACAAACTGATGATTACCACAGGGGAGCTGGTGGGGAGATGGGTTACATAGGTGATGGGGATTAAGGAGTGCACTTGCTGTGATGAGCACTGGGTGATGTATGGAGTTGCTGAATCACTATATTATATACCTGAGTCTAATATAACACTGTAAGTTAACTGTACTGGAATTAAAACAATACAACATAAAACAATGTTAAAACTGTTTAAATCTGCTAGTTTTCTCTGAGATTTCTGAATGTGAATCAACATGGCAATAAGACCAATTTTGTTCTCACCATAACGTCTTTGATTCTTTTCACTCATCTTTCTTACGGTATCAAGTGCATTCTCTTTGTTTTCTTCCAACTCTTGTGTTTCTTGCTGATGACTTTCAGCCTCTGGGGAGAAAAGGAATGTTATTTTCAGACAATACACTGCTGGGGTATCATATACTTTAAATCTCTTACCAAACAAAAGAATTATTAGATTGAGAGGATTTCTATACTTTGTAAGATCTTCTTATACAAAACTAACTTTTTTCCTGTCTTTTCCTTCAGGCTAACTATTACTTTTATTCTACTTAGAAGAATCAAATGAAGAGCTGTGAAAATTCATGTAAGGTTACTGTTGCTACATTCACTATTCCTCACTGGCCCTCACATCAAGGACAAAGCAACAAGCATCCTAATTTTGTAGCCAAACCTATCTACAATGTGTTTCGAGAAAATGTACAAAATTAAAAAGGGACTGAAGAAGTGTTAGCTGTGGGCACTGGCTGGTTCAGTTGGGAGAGCATGCAACTCTTGATCTCAGGGTCGTTGAGTTCAAGCCCTACATTGGGCGTAGTAGAGCTTACTTTAAATCAATCAATAAATAATAGTTATTAAAAATAAATAAAGCACACATAATGAAACACTTTTTTAAAAAAAAGAAATGTTAGTTGAACACAAGACTCAACATCACAGGGCAATGGCACTCTTAATTCCAGGGTTCAAGTCATGTGGCTTCTCAAGACCCCAAGTACATAAAAACAGAGACTCTTAAGTTTAGAGATAGGAGAGATTACTGTACAGTTACAAAATAGCTTACAAAAGCAAGTTTGAACCTCTTAGTGAAGGCAGTATAAAAAGCAAGGAATACAAAGTTAAGAAAATCTATGAACTACATAAAAATGTAGGTGTGGAGCGAGATATCAATGTTAAAATGTGTGGGTGAAAAGGAGGGCAGTATTTTTGTAGCATTCTAAGTCACTCTACAGTCAAGATGTGTGCTTACTGGAAAAACAATTCAAACTCTATTAACACAAAGAAATAAGATCATCTCCACCTATAAAGGGTCATGTATTTAGTCACAGCACACCCAAAAAGACAGGACTTTAAAATATCGTATCACAGAATATGAAAGGATCTTTAATGATCCCGTACTGTAGCCCCACCTTACCTATCATAGCAAAAGGTCTAAGGATGTTAAGGGCTTTGCCCAAGGTCACATAAAGAGATGTGGCTAAGCTGAGATTAAAACAAGGTTTCTCATCTGCTAGGTCAGCTCATTCCATTATATTAAGTTGCTTCCCATATACAGCCTGCATTTTTAAAACAGTATTTTCTTCCTCTACTCAGTGAACCTGTATACTGGTGAAAATCTGATGGAAAATTAGTAGTTCATACAAGTCACATTCATTCATTTATGTAACTACTATTCATAAAGTTGCTTCTCTGTGCCAGGTGCCACAGAAAAACAATGAATGACAGAGACATAGTCCTTGCCTTCAATGAAGTTACAGACTATTCTAATGATTAGTGAATGAAACATTATTTGAGATCAGACACTGATTTATAATGAAGCATGAATTTCCAGCCCTTAGTCGAGTCCCAGATGAACAGAATGTCTTAACATTTTATATCCCTTTGCACTTGGCAAATAGGCATTTTAGACTGAGCTCTTCCGTGTACTTATAAAATACAAATCCACACATGCAATTATAGACAGAGCTGGAGAGACCAGCTGGATAGCTCTTATCCAACTTTCTCATTCTACAAATAGGAAACTGAAGTACCAGGGAGTTAAGACACTTGCCCAGGGTCACCCAAGTTAGCAAACTGTAGGGCCACAAGTAGAATTCATGTCTCTTTTGTATTCCAGTTAAGGACTTAGCCACTGCAACTATTATCTTCATAAGAGAAGATAGGATGCTTACTCTCCTTAATATAGAAGTGGGGAAAATCATGTAAAGAGAAATTAACTGATTTGCTCAAAGTCTGATAAAATATGACTGAGTTAAGGGTACTGGGCCATTGATGCTAGTTTTTAAATATACCCATCCCTGGGCGCCTGGGTGGCTCAGTAGTTAAGCGTCTGCCTTCAGCTCAGGTCATGATCCCAGGGTCCTGGGATCAAGCCCCCATCAGGCTCCCTGCTCGGCGGAAAGCCTGCTTCTCCCTCTCCCACTGCCCCCTGCTTGTATTCCCTCTCTCACTGTGTCTCTCTCTGTCAAATAAATAAATAAAAGCTTTAAAAATATATATATATGTATATATACCCATCTCTTGATTTGTGTACCATTTAGTTTCCAAAAAAAAAATAAAATAAAAGATTTAAAAAATGTTAAGTAAAAATATGCTCCTAAGAAATAAATGAAAAGCCAGAGGTGAAGTTTTAAAAAGTCAATCCCTTTTTTAAAATCATACTACATCAAACAGTAAGTAAATAAAAATAGTTTAAAAATGTAGTTTGTATGCTAGAAGATACTTAAGTAGTGTAATGAGCGAGCCAAGGAGATGAGAAACCTCACTCCAATCTCAGCTCGGTCGTATCTCTCTAAGTGACCTCGAGCAAGGCCCAAAGGCCTTGAACCTATGAAGAGAACCTCTCTATAAAGAAGGACCCTGACCTATGCTGTGTCCTAGGGAACAGAGCAATACAAAACAGAAGTCCAGGGGGCTCCCTCACCTGGTGCCAGCAGTCGCCTCCTCACGGTAGCCTGGCTCTCCAGCACTGCGGGGGAACGCTCAGGGCTCTGGGCAGCCTGAGAGTCTGTGGCAGGTAGCTCGGGTGAAACTCCAGGTCCGCTGCTCACCTCCTCAGGCAGGGCTGCAGAGCCGCTCCTTAAGAGTGCATCTTCTCTTCCCACCCTGCCACTTGGAGAACAGGTGGGTTCTGGTGGGTTCTGCTCTTCGTGAAAACTCTGGTTGTTCTCGTGTTCTGTTTTGTCCTTTGGATAGTTCCCATAATCGGTCCCATCTGGACTTTCTGATTGGCCATCTGTGTCTGCACTTCCTGGAACTATTGTTTCTACCTCTTGGTGGACTTCGTTAGGACCAGAGGCGGGGTCTGGGGTCTCAGCTTCCTCAGTGGTACTTGCTGGGACTGAGGTCTCCGGTGCCTGAGAACTTATTGATGGGTCATTTTCCAAATCCTTTTGAGAGGCTATTGAGATAAAAATTTATAATTTTTCTTGAAAAAAATTCCCCATTGTTTTGTAGTTTCACAAGGTCCCTGATTAATAAGTATTATTATTTAATGTATATAGATTTGATGGTTTACAAGGCACTCTTCCTAAACATTATTTCTCTTGATTTCCACTAAAGGTGATTAAGACAAACTTATTATGTGTTAATAAATCTAGTAATACTAATGTAAAACTATTCTGAATGACAGAACCGATTTTTGGTTGTATTAAATACATCCTCTTCCCTAGTGAAATAATGCATCTACGCAATCATCATCAACAGCAACTAAAGCCACTATGCAAAAAGCTGATGAGAAATTTTATAATGAGTAAATCTGACAGAACTGCTGAACCAACTGATCAATCTTAACATCACAGAAAGAAGGAAAACCACATATCATTAACCTCCCAATTCAATGCAGTGGGAAGTACACTATACCACCCATGAGTATTCTTGCCAAACAAATGCACTGGTATCTGATCAAGATTCTAGAGTTAATTATCAGTTTCCATGAAAAACACAGATAGAGGAATATATTAAATCACGTCTCAGACATATACTCTGTAAAACCCAAAATGTGAGAAATTCACAGGGACAAGAGACTTTGTTTCTTTAATAAGAGCAAGAAATAAAAATAAATGGGAAAGAAAATAAAGGAGGGGTGACCTATTAATAGAAACTTAAAGAGAAGAAACATATCGACCAAATGCAATATGTGACCACACCATTCAGATCTAGTGTTGAACAAATTGTTGAAGAAATATTTATGAGATAATCAGATAATCTGAATGCCAGATATTTGCTGATACTAAGGAATTACTGTTCATCTTTTAACATGTCGTGATAATTTTTTAAAAGCATCCTTTTTTGAGATAAGAATCACATATTTATGGCTAAAATCACATGGTATCTAGAATTTGCCTCAATTCAAGAATATGGGTAAAAGCAGCAAGACTATAGATGAAATAATATATTGACAGCAGATGAAGCCATTTGATGGGTACATGGGATTCATCTCATCTCCTTCTCTACTCTTAACGTATGTCTGACATTTTCTATAATAAAGCTTAAAAAGAAAGCAACCTAAAAGATATATCAATCAAATGCAGTGAGTAGCCCACTATAAAGAAAAAAAAAACAAAAAACCAAAACCCCAACTGTGGGGAGAAAAAAAAGATTAGTGAGAAAAAAAAGGATTTGAGACAAGTGGGGAAATGTACATACTGATGAAATATGTTAGGATATTAAAGAACAACTACTAATATATTTTTCAGGTGTGATATACTATTTTGGTTACTTTTTTAAAAAAATCTATCTTTAAGAGATATAAAGTATGTACAAAAATATAAAATGCCTTGGATTTGCATTTAAATATTCCAAGGCAGGCAACAAGATGAGCATTATAGGGATGCCTGGATGGCTGTCAGTTAGGCATCTGCCTTCGGCTCAGGTCATGATCCCAGGGTCCTGGGATCGAGTCCCAAATCGGGCTCCTTACTCAGCAGGGAGCCTGCTTCTCCCTCTGCCTGCCAATGCCCCTGCTTATGCTTGCGTGCAGTCTCCCTGACAAATAAATAAAATCTTAAAAAACAAAAAGATCAGCATTATATAGCTTATAATTGAAATTCAGATGTTGAAATCACTATACTGTATGTCTGAAACTAATATTACATTGTATTTTAACTAACTGGAATTTAAATAAAAACTTTAAAAAAGGAATTAAATGTTGAGTACATGCAAATTCATTATAGTGCTAGAGCGCTATAACTTTTACATATTTTAAAATACCCTCAATAAAAGGTTTAGGTAAATATGCCCTCTTCTGAAATATCTACTTCATATTTTGCCTATTTTATATCTCCTACATATATATACACAAGCAAGAATTTATAACTGAAAGTAGATGGCACATCGGTTTTCTTGATTTTTAAAAATATAGCTCTAAAAATTGGTCTATTGTCCCTAAGATGCATGTATTTTTCCAATACTACAGGTTTCTACTCCTGGAGTCTTTTCTAAAACATTAATCTTCCTTATAATTCGGGTCTGATATTATGGTGGACTTCAGTAAATACAAAAGAATAAGAATAATCATAACAAACTAATCAATTAAGCTAACTTCTTTTTTACTTCCGAACTTCAGGTTTCCATCATGAGATCTTCTCTTAGCATAGACCTAGATTCCTACAGCACAAACCTGGACAAACCAGTGCTGTACAAACTAGTCTTACCCTCTGCAGGATCCCTAAATCCTCTGTCGGCCATGTTTGTGTTCTAGCTCTTCAGACTTTGGGATACTTTTTGTTAGTGTCTGGTTTTTCTTGGGAAGATGTCTTGTTTTCTTCTTATCCCAAGTCCCAACAGACTCATGCTTCCCGTGGACCCAGGAAACAAGGCATTTATACAGTGACTAAAATAAAATGAAAAAAATTAAATGACTTTTTATTCATACATGGAAGAAATGCCAATTTCAGCTTTATTTATTCAATCTGTTTAGTTTGAGTAATAGTTCCCCTTTGAAACTTTTCTAGTGAAGGAGAAATGTTTTCTGGCGTTGGTGAGGATCTTCAAATCCTTGACTACAAATAGAAAACAGCTTCAGGTAATATTAACCTTGCATGTATGCCATAATCTCCTAATACATTCTAGTGTGTTGAAAGGATGGAAAAAGCTAAATGACCAGAATCTTAAAGAGAATGTCTTTGAAAATGGAATAAAAAGTGATTCTTAAGAGTAGAAATTTAAGTCACTGCTCAGTTAATCACTGCATATTTCCTTTATGTCTTCAATTTCTGTCCCATATAAATCTCTCAGCCAATCAGCAGCTTTCAGTTATCATTACTAACAATGCACAGGGAGTACCCTACAAACTAAGGTAGCTGCCTTGGTATCAGGAGTAGGAAATACACATCTGGAATTCTGTTACCGCCTTCTTAGTGATTCTCTCACAGTATTCTTTTTAGATCTCTTCAATGCCTTTCCATGTGGTGCTCAAAGAAGACTGATGTTTAAATTATTATGAACTATATACAAAAGGAATAAAAATCAGAGGTAATTAATAATCATAAAATATTCTATTATTTTATAGTTAAATCACATTTTTTGTCAGGAACAGTAATACCTAATTTAACTTTCCTTATCTGTAAAAATGATTAAGGAGTGATATGAGGATTAAATACAAAAGTATATGTGAAAGAGGTTTGGAAAGGGTTACATTTTTGATGGCCTAAGTTGAGAGGCTAGCCAGTTAACTTCTATGTCTTTTTCACAGCACTCTTCTGTAAAATTCAATTTTACAAGTTAAAAATTTTAATCCCAAATGCCTGGCATAATGCCTAGTATAAAGTAGAACTCCCTATTTTAATTAAAAAGAATATGAATAAATAAATGTATGAATGTATAGAGTGGTGCCAATTATAAATGGAAGGGAGGAGTTAGAGACAGGCCTCCTCTCTGCTGGTGTAAACATTCAGGAACATGTCTCAGATTTGAAGAGTTCCTGGTCACCCTTTTATCTTCTTCAATCTCCTGAGACTGGGCTCCCAACTCTCCTTTTCATTACCATCATGTTGCAATGAGGGTTTCTCTCCTATCCTAGTTCATGATAGAAAATAAAAAGTCCCATCTTTTTCATATTTCTTAAAACACTTATTTCCTGCTAGCCCAAACCAAGAAAACAATGGGTAGAACTTTCTTATGCACCAGTGACAAAAATTTTAGAAAGCAAAGATGCTATTCGTAATAACTATAAGGAATCTCATAATAAAAACTAAAAGATACCTGGTAATAAATCTAACACATATGCAAGAACTTTAGAGTGGGATGAATTTTATGGTATGTAAATTACACCTCAATAAAGCTGTATTAAAAAAAAATACATAGGAAGAAAAGCATAAAACTTTATTGAAGGACATAAAAAAGACCTAAGGAGAGAAATACATCATGTGCAGAGACAGTAAGACTCTAAACCACTGATGCCAATTCTTTCCAAATCAATCTATAGGTTCACTGTAAATTGAAACAAAATTGCAAGATAATTTTTGGACTGTTGTATGTTTCTTAAAGAATGTACAGCTGACTCAAATTCACACAGAGCAGTAAATGATTAAAAAGAGTTAAGATAATTCTGAAGGAAAAATAAAAAGATAATTCTGAGGGAGGGGGGCCTATCTTTGCCAGATATATCAAGACTTATTATAAACTTACAGTAAATAAAAACGATAGGACAATGGTACAAGAACAAAGAGAATATACAGGAGAGAGAGAAGGAAACACATGCACACATACGTAAAGGAAATTGGCTAAGGGACAAGAGGGAAAGAATGGATTAATGAGTAGTTTGAGGACAAGTGACAATTTAAATGGGAAAAAAAATTAAGATTTCAACCTGTCACCCGACACAAAAATCAATTCCCACTTAAAGACCTAAGTGTAAAGAGAAAAATTTTGAATTAAGAAAATAAGTATCTTTATAATCTCAAGGTTTTCTTAAACAAGATATAAAATACACAAACCATAAAGGGAAAATTTGACAAATTTGATTACACTTTAAATATTAATTTCTATACAAATCATCAAAGTTAAAACATAAATTCACTGACTAGAAAAATATCAGCAACACGTATAATCAGCAGGGGATTAATATCCAGAATACATAAAGACTCCTAAAAGACAGATAATGCTATGAAAAAGTAAGTGGGCAAAAGAGTTTAACAGTTTTAACAAATTGTTAAAACAAAAGGAAACCTAACATTCTTATGAATCAAAAAGAAGAGTGGTCAAGGAAATGCAAAACAAATTAATGATGACATACAACAGTGTTTTACAACCATCGATTGGCAAAAATTTACAAGTTGGGCAATACCAGGTGTTGGTGAGGATTTGGATATACAGAGTTCTTAAATCCTACTGGCAATGAGGTAAACTGTTCCTACAACTTTGGAGAGCAATATGGCAATATCTGGTAAAGTTGAGATGTGCATGTTCTACAAATAGTCAATTGCATTTTTAGATATATGCCTTAGAGAAACTTTCCCTCAAGCGCTCACCGATGTTCATGGCAGCATTGCTTAAAATGAGGAAAAAATGAGAAAACCACCTATATGTCCATTAATTAGGAAGTGGATTTTAAAAAATCGTGGTATATTCTTGCAATGTAATATTAGATATGGCAATTAAAACAAAAGGAACCATCACAGATCTTTCTATAATCTTACAAATGCTCAGTATATACCTTTCTTGTCAGGAGGCACACATTCCTGCAGCCCATTTCATTCAGGCCCTTTGTAACGTATCACTGTTCAGAGCTGAAATGGTATTCCCTCAAGGCTACAGGGAAGAAGTGGTATAAACACGGAGGTTCTTGACACATCCTCACAAGAAGTCACATGGTGGGGCAGCTGGGAGATCTTGAGGCCACTATTCCCGAAGCAGGTCAACCTTTTGAGCAGTGTCCAATCCATACGAGGAAGTGTGTACATTAGGAATCTCTGGACTGATTAATGAAAGTGAGGCAGAGCCTCATCCTGATGGAAAATGGGAACGCTGGAGATGTTTTGCAACTGTAGGAATAACCGTTCCATAATCATGTCCAAAAAAAGATCCCTTTGATGGTATCTTTTGCAAAAAGGAACTGATGAAGACCCACGTGCTTCATATGGCACAAAAGGTATTTACTTTCAGCAAATCCCTTACAAGCCCATTTATGGAGGTTAAGATTCATTTTGCCACTTCAGTAAAACACAGCTTCATCACTGGCAGCTATTTGCACTTCCCTTGTATCATTTTACTTTAAGTTTACTCTATATGAGGGCTTAAACAGGATAAAGAAATAAAGTTTTATTCTCCCTTTTCAGGGAATGCAACAGATGATACTCTGAGGGATGCCTTCCTTCATTTCCACATCCTGGGACTTGTCTAAATAGGGACACAAATTTGCCTGCCTACCTCCTCTGCCGATGTGATTGCCTTGTGCTCTTTTAAGATGCATCCTTTCTGTTCCATCTCACTGTACCAACGGTAATGCTTTGACAACTTGGTATGTGTTCATTCACTGGTACGCTCCCAGACCTTTGCATGGCAGCAATACAACCCAGTTTAGCAGACTCCCAACATACAAAATGAAGTGTCATAAGTGTCATCAAGTCTACAAATTGGTGCATATTACATTTTTATGTACAAATGTTACTGATATGTTACTAATAACATTTTGAAAGCAGTCAATTCTTTTATTGCTCTGTCCCATTGTTTAAATACATATAAAAAAAATTAAACACATGAGCAGAAAGGATACACATAAACTTCCATTTGGTGCTTGCTTCTGCTGACGGAAGGACAGAAGAGGATGACAATGGGTTCCAACTCTGTCAAGTATCTTAAAGAAAAAAAAACCTGAAGCAAATGTAGCAAAATGTTAACGTATTTTAGATCTGGGTACCTGGTGAATGTTATTCTCTGGACTTTTCTGTATGTTTGATGTAGTTAATACTTTTTTAAATGAGCAATAAAAGGTATCAGCCTCTGTGAGGAAAAGTAAGAATCAAAAGGCAGGGGCCTGAAATGCTAACTCTTTGAGCTCACAAGCAATGCATTTCTGTTACAGAGGCACACTCCAACCACAGCCTCCCATGCATTTTGTCACAACCAGCTGGGAGGAGACAGGACACAAAAATGCTGTCCGAGAGAACAAAATCAGGGCTAGGAGAACAGCAGGACTTCACCCAACCTCTACTCATCCTGAAAACCTCTGGTCTCACATGGGGACCAGGTAGGAGGGAGGGAGGAGATGGAGACCTGGGGAAGAGAGAAGGGGCAGGTACCAGGAAGCACTGGAATCTGCAACACTAAGTGATAGTTTTTTTTAAGGATTTTATTTATTTATTTATTTATTTTAGAAAGAGGGAGAGCAAGTGTGAGCATGAGTCAGCATAAGTGGGGGAGGGAGAGAGAGAATCCCAATGTGGGGCTTGATCTCACGACTCCGAGATCGTGACCTAAGCCAAAACCACGAGTCAGACGCTGAACCAACTGAGCCACCCACGCACCCCTAAGTGGTGAATTAAAAAAAGAGAGAGAGAGAGAGGGAGGGAATCAGAAGTTTAGCAGTAAGGACAAAAGAGAATCAGTCAATCCAAGATGGTAATTTAGATATAAATGCCATCATGACAAATGTATGGCAGTCAGGGCCCAAGAAGTACATATATCTTTTTTCTATTTTTAAACACTTTTATTTTAGTGAATGGTGTCAGTTTCGGCTCTAGGGATAAAAAGCAGATATCTTGGCCCTCAAACAATTTATAATTCTGCTGTAGAGACAACATACAAAACATACACAACAAAAATAATAGGTAACATTTATTGCCTTGTTTATGCCAAGCAGCATCCAAAGCACTTTATGTATTAACTCATTTAATCTTCACAATCGTCTTATGTCTGAACCATTAATATTCTTACTAGTTTACAGACAAGGAAACTGACATACACAAGAGGTTAAGAACCTTACTCAAAAACACATAACTAGTAAAGGCAGAGTCAGGATCGGAACTCAATCTTGACTGTGGGACCCAAGCTTTTAACCGTGACGCTAAAAAAAACAAAAACAAAAAAACCACCTATAGTAAACATACTACAAAGCGACCTGTATGTAGTTTTCAATTGTGACTCTAGCACATATGACCTGGTTGAATCTACACATAACCTAACCTTCAACTTTTCTCAAACTGCTTAGTTTGGTGTTGTGGAAAGTCTCAGGTGAGATAGTAAATCCCACAGCAATTACACCTACCACCATTATGACTGTAAATGGGCCTAAAAAATGTGACAAGGAACTGCTTGGGGTCATCCATCCCTGTAGATTTCTTAATCTTTAAACCTAAGACCATTTGACTCAACTCAACTACAGACTCAACCTCAGTACCAAGATTAATCTGGTCCTTCATTGGAGGGGACTTAAGTTTTCGATAATTCAGCATCAAGCTCTAACAATTGGCTTTAATCCCCTAAAACTAAACTCTTATTCCTGCCTCGTTCTCCTGTACCTTTTCTAGTCCTAAGGACTTAATGTGTGCCATATGATTGGCACATATTATCACATTCACACCCCACACAGGATGAGGTAGGTTATTACTGCACTACCTTTGTGACAGATAAAGAAACTGGATAGAGAGAGGTTAAAACGCCCAAAGTCATTTAATAGTACCAAAATTTGATGACAAACACAGGTCAGCTGGCTGCAACGCCATTATTTTTCCTGTATAATAAGCAGCTTTCAAGCTGTGTTCTCAGGATTCCATGGAAAATCCAGGGCTGTCAGGGAAGACTGAAGAAACAGTCTTACAGATCTCGCTTTACAGATAAGTGTATCATGCTGATTGCCACATACTCTTTGGATTCCATGGAATTCTTTTATGCCTGCCTGCCTGCCTGGGCTTGTTTCTCCTCCTATCACTTAGAGATGAATCATAACTCAGTCACCCCCAACCCAAGACAGCCTCTTCTTTAGCAGATTATTTCCTTCCCAGGCTACTTAAGCATGTGTCTCTTAACCTTCCACTCCCAGGTCTGCCATAAAATAACTGGAAGTAGTTTTGACAATCATTTTAAAAATGGCCACCAATATATATAATATTATCAACTCTGCCACAGTATAAAGATGATTAATGTGGCTCACATAATCTAAAATAGGGGATAACCCTCCAGATCATTTGTTGTGAGACTTAATTTTAGGAATATATTTATGCTTTATAATTCACTGTTCATAATTATGAACTGGAGCATTCTAGAATATTTTAAGCCAAGTAAAATCATATTAAGACTTAAGCTGAAGAGCTACAAAGCTCTCTAAATTTTCTTCTTTGCTCAATTTTATGAACTCTGCCACATGTTATTTCTGAGAGCGGACCATGTAAAAGATATGTGATAATATAACCATGTCTGAAGGGAAAGTATTCTTAATGTAATATTTGAGTTAATATTTTTGATTCCTTTCTCCTGCCCATATACTTACAAAGCTTATAATGACATCACACAGAACTACAACAGTCCTGATTATTGTAATGAGAAAAATGTGACTGAGTTATAATCTGAAATATCCACAGTGACCTACCTGCAGTCTGACATAAAACCTCTTTATACGGCACTAGCAAAGGACAATAACTATCACTACCTTGTGGTATTATGAGTACTCATTTCCCATCCTTTGAAGCCAGGTAATTAAACACCATGGAGGTGCTGCTATTGTACTTCTCAAAGTATCCATAGAGCACCTGCCTAAGAATCTCCTGCACCACTACTTAGAAATGCAGGTTCCCGGGGCCTGTGAGCAACCTAAGGAATCAAAATTTCTCTAAGATCAAGAAATGTGCATGTTCTGACAAGCTCATCCAGGTACTGATTTGAAAATCAACAGTACAAATCCATTTACTTTTTCTTAACTATTTAAAGGAGAGACTGGTTAAAACAATCTTTGGTTAAAACACTTTGCTGATACTTAAAATTGCATGTATGTAGAGTGTTTGTCAATATGCGTTTGAAAAAATTTAGGGACCAATAATAGTGATCAAAAGCAATAGCTCTAAGTAAATTTTCACTTTGTAGAAAGAGCTTTAGGACAGTAAAGGAGTTCTTAACCAAGGGTCAATGATAAACTAACTAGTCTTCATTCAATTTAGCAGTCCACACAGTTTATTCAGCAATGTAACAGGAGAGAACTTCCATTGTGACCAGACATAAGGCAGACACAGGGTAAGTCTCTGGGGTACATCCTTTATACAGACGAACAAATAACTTTAGGTTTCACAACTTGTGGCAGGCATGATTTGTTGCATACCAACAGCTATTCATTCCTCCCTTCTCCCTTCCTAAAAGAGCCATGATTTTATTAGGGGAGACAATGGGCCCTACCCAGGCACTGCTAACCCCCTTCCCCTCTGCTGGGCTTCCCAGGCTTGTGAACCAGTACATTCTAATGAGATATAAGGAGAAATCTGTGAGGGCCTTTTGAGAAAGACCTTTTTCCCCAAATAAAAGACACAGACTTGAAAGGAAAAAGCTTTTGCTTCGTATTTCCAGCCTTTGATTGGGAATGAAACGTCTGGAACAGTAACAGCCACACTATACTCACTGAAGAAACAACTATGAGGACAAAAAGCCACCACGATAAGGATCCCGGTGGAGAAGAAGAGAAAGAGCCTGGGACCTTAGGAACACTGTTCAGCTGCTACACAAGCACTGGATTATCTAGTATCTTAAGTGGAATTTAAAAATTGTTCAATGGCCTCTGAGATGTTTTCAGCAGATTTTTCTAAGTTTCTCCTATACTCTAGTTCCATGATTCTCATCAACAGGTGAAGGCCAGAATGTGGTCAATGCCCAGCAAGACATTCTTAGTTCTCAGAAAAGATGCTTCCTCAGAGTGTCTATGGAGTGAAGCTTGATAACTCCTTCTGTCACCTATCCCATAGTATAAGTACTTTTCCATTTCCAGAGGAGGACATTCAAAGTTCAGTCACCACAAAAACAGGATAGCCTTTGCTATGTAGAGTCAGTAAGTAAAGACAGTGGCATTTCTGCATGTTTGTGTGTATCCTATGTAGATATTACCACTGGTTAATGTATAAGAGGTGGAATGGAGAACAATGCAGTTTCTTATTAAAATATCTAGCTGTTTACTGGAATAATCTATAATCCAGCTACAAAGATGCTTTCCCACAAAAGTTATCACTAAAAGTATCATTATGGTACACACAGTACAGGGCCTCTACTCCAGGACTATCCTGTCATACATCCATAATAAGGCTGTGGAGCTTTTTAGGATGGGTAAGCTAATTCCCAAACATAGGGAACGTAGATTAGACTGGTTCTAGATTAACAGTCTGACTGGAATACTGATTAAATTCATGCTGAACAAAATATGTGTAGCCGATGGGAGCAGATCCAACAATTTAAGCAATTCCCCAAAGTAGTGACAGTCCAGATCAGATTTAGAAAAGGAGTCATTTTCCCAGTCTTCCTTGAGCTACTAGTACAAACTCTAGAGTCTCCATGATTTTGACTGCTTAAAAAGTTATTTGTTTTGGCCAAGTTTTTTGTTCAAGGTTTTGTCTGTTCTGGTCAAGATTAACTGCAATGCAGGGTTAAAGCCAGCTACTCTAGAGTCATGTATCCTTTTTCTAACCAGTGGAGGACCCAGAAGAAACGGGTGGCAAGCTTTTTCAAAGGTCCATCTAGTAAGATTTTGGGGCGCCCACTCAAGTGGGAAAGACCAAGGAAGAACAAGGCTTCTATTAGCAGGATTATCAGGGTAACACTCAGGGCAATAATCCGCTCTGTTAATACGGTCTAAGAATACTTGGTAACACTCATTTTCAACAAGTTCAGTTTGGTACAACCAATGGCCTAGTTCTAAACTAGGGAACCACTGTTGTCCACAGTCCGGGCAATGTGAATTATCTGAGAACATCTGGGCTTAGAGAGATAACACAGAAAGCAATGTAACAGTAAAAGGCAACAATGATAAAGAGAGATACCCAAATAACCAGTCCTATTACAGGTCTGGTTTAGCAATTTCTCAGTCCAACCAACAATACTTGGCGACCGGAGTTAAATTTGGCTTGCACCTCCGTGCAATTCTTCAAGATTTCGTTGTCTATTTTTCACTCAATTGCAACTCAGTCTCTGAACTCAGGGACCGATCCAGTCTATAATGTTATCAGTCACTCACTAGCAGCACAGATCTCAGAATAGCTCCTTCAAATCCCAGCTTCTCAAGAAAAGATAGGGCTCTAGTCTAAATTGGTTATTTTCTCTTGTGTGTTATCAGCTGGTGGTGTCATGCAGAGGCACTTGGCTTACTCTGCTTTGCTGGTAAGTTATTATGTCTGCTTGGTG